AGAACTATGCAATATATACATATAAATATACCTGCAAAACAATGTGCGGATACAAGGTTTGACCTTTCCGAATTGGTGGATCAAGAGTAACAACAACAAAGGTATGTGGTTGACTAACCTGCACATGAAATTTTCCCCATGCTGAAGAACAGAAGTATGTAGCTCTAGAGGGAACATGTAGGAGCTCAAGAAATTTTCTACCCAATCAATAATTATATTTTATCTCTTCAACTACTACCAATAGACAATGAATCAACATCAATTCGACTTATATGAATGCATGGGATATAATGAATTGCAAGCCTGTGGCACACCCATTGTGACTACTGCTTACTACCACTTTTTTTCATACAAGCGGCATACAACAATTAACAGGAAAAAGGATATGGGTAAAACTATGTGCAAGACAATGAGAACCTTCGGCAGTAAGAAAATACGGACAACACTGCTGTACTGAATCTTAAAGTCATTAGCTTGCCCTTGTAGACGGAGGAAAGAAAGATGAAGTTCAACATTATATCGACCCCTACAATATGAAAGCACATATCAACTGAGTATAAGAAAGCAGATACAAATAACCAGAACAGAACAATTAACTATAGGAGAAGAAGTGATGCATATACCTAGGAGTCAGTATAGCAATGCCATCAAATGTAACAACAGCTTCCTCCCCATCACTAACATCGGCCATTGCCACAATTTTGTCACGGAACACCTATTTGAATAGGTAAATATTCAATTTCCGTCGACGTATAAATAACCCCTTCTCTATAAGGGAAGAAAAACGGGAATTTTATTATTCTGCTTTTTTGGGCATGGGGTGGGGGAGAGTAGCTGTGTCACCTGAGCTGGAGGATAGCTTTCATCACCAACAAATTGGGTGTTTGAATTGGGTATGTGAAAACTTATCTCCATCAATGAATCTTTCTGCAATCAGATCAAAGATGTAGTTACAAGAGTCTGACAAAAATGTGGAGAAGAATTAAAGCAGTCTCCAAGCCACATGAGGTGATTGTGATAAGTAGCAAGAAACCCTGAAAGATGGATAAATGTCAAACATTAGCAAACAGAAACAACATACCTCACTCGCTCCTGTTGTATCATCAACATGAAACTCTAACATGACATCATTTTTTCCCTGTAGCTGTGTTTGTGAGACATCTGCCAGAGATACCTCAAATGCTTGCTTAGAGCCAACAAGAAATGCAAGTGTATTGCCTGAAAAGAACAAGAACAGGTGCAGATTTATTCATTTATCACTGGGAAACCCTGGTGGTAAGGCACCATATTGAAGAAGTCCACACTTTGCCTACTTAATACTTATGTATTTATTCGTTAAGATATGAAAGATTAAAAAGTAACAATTTGTTATCATATTTAAGTATTTTTTTAAGATAAACCCTAAAAAAAATCTAATCATGTGCATCTATACCATTTACAGCCATAAGATTTGTGCAATAATAATTATATGAATTACTTTTGAGTTTTATCTAGTTTTGAAATTAAAATAATTGAATTACGGGAGTTCAAATGAATTTGTATAAATCTTGAAAATGTTCAGAAGAAGAACATGTTTTATGATAATGATGGATTAGATTTGTGTTCAGAGTTAAGAATAATAAAGGAAATTTAAACATGCGAAACAGATACTCCATTATTTTACTCCCTTTGTCCCTATATAATTTTCTCATTTTCTATTAACACGGAGTTAGAGAGGTGAAATTCTATGATTGAAATTTGTGCAGAGAAAGAGAATTGATCATGTTCTGGCCAAAATAGTCGGCTTCAGTCTGGTTCTCTATGTTGGCCACTCTCACCCCCCTCCCCAGTCCCCCCTCCCCAAACATTTATTGTTGATCTCATTGTTCAATGATATCCTCTTCTTTGATTTTAAAGGGGAAAAAGTTGTAAGGCCCCTCAAAAATATTTGCCTAATGCTGGCTGAAATCACTTCAAGTAGAGCCAACAAGAACAAGCAAATTCCTCACTAAGCCCAAAATCAAGGATTCTTATGCACTGATTCAATGGTATTATGACATATGACAAATAAAAACACCAAACAAGTACAATTCAATAAAATCACAAGAGTCACTAGTGTCGTAACGAAAGAAAAGCACAAACCATTTATATCAACTTCACCCCAATTTTTCCCGCTAACAGAGAGATGCTTCTCTTCTGGAGTTATTCCACAACTACTCTGGAAAAAAGTGGTCAGGTTGGAAACATCCTGCATAGTGAATAGATGCAAAAAAAAAATAAGAGCCCATCACTTCATAACTTCTGCAGCCAATTTGTCATCTCTAGTTAACATCAAGATAAGGTGCCTCTACAATGTGCAATTAGTTTTTTTAACATGAACACAAGTACTCTAATTGCTACAAAAAAAAGCAATAGTAGAAACATTGAAGGTCGTGTAGGCTGAAGCAGAAAGAAATGAAACCATTCAAACAATCAAGATTCAGATTAAACATTTTACCTGGTCACGGAAACCTGTAAATTTGTAGTAGAGCCCGTCCTTAATTCGAACTCCAAGCTGATTCGATCGAGGAACCTTCATCCAAGTAAGGCTCATGACATCATCTTTGTCCACCTCTACAGCCTTACCTCCACCCTGCTTCTTCCACAGAATACCTCCTGCGTGAACCTTGAGTTGCCCTGGATTCTACATATCCAAAGTATACATATTTGTTAAAGAATAGCTTTAACTGTCAGACTTATTCACACTTCATTAAAATAATTTCAGAAACCAAAACCTAATCCCAAGAATAATTTCACAACATGACTAAAATAACAAATTTAACACAAAATCAAAAAAAAGAAACCCTAGAAAACATTAAGAGTAAAACACAATGAAGGTAAAAAGTTCAAATTACACTTCGAACAAAATTCGGATGAAGCTCTCGGTAACGATTCTAGCAACTATTGGACACGAATCACAATGGAACCAGAAACTGAGCAAAATCGAGGGAGATGATGAAATACCACGTTGCCTCCACGGCCTCCAAGGTGGATATTGTTGAACAAGTGGCCGTCCATTATAGCAGCTTCCAAGTTCGTAAACAGCAGATACCGAAGAGTAATCGAATGGAAAGATGAAAATGAAAGGGGAAGAACACTCCCAAAATTAGGTATTTATAGGCTGAGCGAAGCTAATCGCATGGCGCGAAAAGCTGTGTCAAGATTCAAGAGAGTCTAGGCGTCCTGGGTTACTCCCAATCCCCTCCCAGAGATGAGAGGTTACTAATACGCATAGGCCCGGTTCCTTGCAGTCTAATACAGAAATACTTCCTCCGCCCCTAGTTTTTATCCTTTTGATTTTTGGAACTGTTCATCTAAGCACTTTGATTCATCAAATTCTCTCAATGTGTAAGCCTAAATATAGTCATGTGTGATCTTATTTGATTTGTCTTAACATATAGATTATTAATATATAATTTTTATAATTTTTTAATATACAAATTACAAGATAAAATGGATTAAAGAAGTGTATTGGATGGTGTGTAAAAATGAAAGTAGACAAATACTCTGGGACGGAGGGAATAAATTTCAAAATCATTCCATATAAACGATACAATGAAATCGTACCAAAGATTAAACATGCATTACTCAAATAATAATATGAAAATAATAAGAAAATTTTGTTCTCCCTATAAAAGAAAGCACAACTTTTTTAAATAAGTACGAAGTAATAATGTTGGATTTAAAAAGATTATACACATAAATAATAAAAGATAACGAGTTCAAATTTAAAAAAATAAGAATGTCTATAGAGACAAAAACATTGAACTCGAGTTAGAGGATGACACTTGCTTTATTTGTAGCAGACCTAAATATAGTACCATACTCAGAACTATTAAGAGAAAAAGATTAAAGTAGAAGTACTCCGTAAAACATTAAAAATATACCAAAATAAGAGTTCCATGTTTTATTTCTGAAATAGAAGTTAAATTGTATTTATATTATCAATCATGACCATATACATTACCAAAAAAATATAGTAAAATGTAAATGTACAGTAACACATTACCTTAGTGCGAAGGTTATATTTAGGGAATAAAAATATGAAACTCCTATTTTTGTAGTTTCCCTATGTTTTACTCATATTTAGGGTGATTTCTTAACTATTAATTATAAAATTTTAATATAGTTTTAAGTATATATAAATATTGTTCATTTCTACACTTCAAAACAAAATAATTAAACATAAATTCAAAATGAAAAGAGTATCTTTTCCATTTGTTTATTTTTTTTACTTATTTCATAAACTAATCTAATAATGTACCGGTAACATTTTATTTTATAATACTTCTAATGTAATTTTGAGATATATAAGTTTAATTATGCAATTATGCACTAGTTATTAACTAAACTAAATGAAAATAATTTTAATATTGTTATTTTTTGAAAATGTTATTGAGAAATTGAAGAAATATTGTGGGGATGTTTGATTAATGTTTTATTTTGACAAAAAAAGAGTTATGTTTAATATTTTTTGACAAAAAAATAGATTTGTTAAGTTGCAACTTGTGTGTAGTTTGAGAACTTTTTTATTATTTATATTCTAACTTGTTTTTTAAGAATTGTATTATTCAAAAATGAAGTTTTTAATTAGAAAATATAAAATAAAGTTTGTGGTATAGGGAGTACATGTTTTTATTCAAATTGAAAAAAAAAACACTCCCTCCATCAAAACATCATCATCAACAACAACAATAACAACATCAACAACAATAGGATATGTGGAGGGTGTGTCTTGGTAGACCTGATAGTATTGAAAAAAAATATGGATGATGTTATTGTTGTTGATGATGATGAAAACCAATAGAAATGAGATTGTGAAAAAAAGACCATACAAAAAGAGCTAATCCTCTACTAGTCTACTTCATTTCAAACTCATTTCAAACTGGCCAAGACAAACTCAGTAGTAAACTTACACTAGTAGTTGGGTTGAAAAAAAGACCATACAAAAACAAATTTAACCAAATATTAAAAAAAAAAAAAAAAGCTACCACAACAAAGCACACATCAAACTTGTAGCAACATACAAATGAGTCAACCATCTGCAAGTTACAAATCAGAGAATTAAAAAAAAAGGAAAAGAAATTGCACACAACTGTAAAATGACACTCTCTGGGAGTCCATCGCTATACATCCCNAAGCTTGGGAGTGACACAAATTACATTAATCCGAATCTAATCTTTTACACCACAGATTTCACAAACAAATGAAACAGCCTCATATGCACTACCTCCACTCCGGCAAGTTTTTTTCTTGAGCTCATCTCCTCCAACCAGGCTGAAGCCCCTTTTCTAAAATTTACATCCAAAAGAAATTCATGAGAATGCTTAGAAGTCGATATTAATGTGCTACCCCACAAAGTTTTGTGGCTTAAAATTAGTTTTGCTGCTTTATCATCTATGACAGTTGACAAGTGAAGACACTATAGCAAAGTCCCAAATTAGAAGAAAGATGTTAGAAAACAAACAAAAGTGCAAAGATAAGGCACATCTTACCATCCCTAGTGGAGGGCACTGATTTGATGGTTTTGTTTCCACCTTTGCCAGTTGGTTGAACCGGCCGCTGCATCCGAGGAGACAGTGCATTCAACTTTCCATTGGTCAACGAAGGAAGAGAATGCCGTCTCGTATAACCATTTTCAGCATCATCTTCATTTGGTTTGGTAGCCCCCTGTGCTTTAAGCTTAGCCTTTGCAGATTCAGTTGCTGCCATATAGCTAGGCAAGCTTGGTGTATTTTGTGAAATATTCTCAGTATGCTCTTGCTTTGCTGGAAGAGATCTCCTCCTCCTACTCCTCTGGCCTTCTTTTCCACTTTGATCTTCCTTGGAACTAAGTTCCTCCGTGACAATGGGTAGCGTCTCACCCTTCTCGCCATTTTCAGGCAGCAAACGCTCAGAAGGGGTATTATTGTCAGCTGTATCGGGTTTTGGTGGAGGCTCAATCACTGCCAACTCTTCAGATCCAACCTTAGGGTCAGTTGTCAGGTCTGAAGAATCAACTACTGCTTGTTCACCAGCCTCAGAGGGGTCAGACAATGATTTTGGCATTTCAGAAGGGGCGGGATGGACCACCTTCTCAATTTCTACATCTGTCTTTTCAGAAGTCACTGTCACAGACGACGCAGAAACTTTTCTTAAGTTCCGTTTTACCCTCTCTAGTTCAGCCTGAGGTTGTTCTTGTGATGTTTCTGTCTGATGGTTTATGACTTTCCTAGGAACACGTTTAGGTTTTTCAAAATCCACGGAACTCGATCCATGATTGTCAACATTGGATGCCATGGGAACCTTTCTGACACTTCGTTTTGGTCTACCAGATTCTGCCTCAAGGTTAAGTGCACTGTGCTTCCTTTGAGATTTTGGATTGAGATTCTTCTTTGGCCGGGGAAGTGGTGCCCAAAAGCGAGATGATGACCAGCGCTCAAGCCAGTTCCAAGCTGAATTGGGCTCACTCACATCATACTGAAGGCTCAGGGGCATAGCTGTTGGCACTATAGCAAGAAGCTGAATTTAAAAGAAAAAGTTCATTAAAGTTTATTTATAAACAAATAAAAAAGGGTATGCCAACAAATATTCATATGGAGTGCACAGTATTATGGAATGCACATTTAAAAAGGGTTTGTTTGAATTATAAGATTTGAAGGGGTGGGCTTTGGAGAGCCTAAGAGCTGTTTCCAGTTCGATATTGCCTAAACTTAATTTCCTAGTGTGAACTGAACTACTCCATAGTTTGTTTAGTCAAATTTTAAGAAGGCTAAGTGATAGGCGAAGCTGTGGTTGTAGACTTGTAGACACAGGAAAGTACTCTGCAGCACGCCCTCTCACAAGCAAACGAGATTTGATTTTACTCGAGTCTTGCACGTGAACGTTGATTTTTATAAGTTGGGTGGCAGTGAGGTTCAAATTTGTAACCTCTAGGTCAGGCTCTGATACCATGTTAAAGTCTCAAAGATCTAGCTCAACCACAAGCTCAAACATATGGTTGTAAGCCCAAAACACGTCTATACTTGATAAATACTCCCTCACTCTCTCTTTTTCTTTCATATTAAAACCATCTCATCTTTCCTTTCCAGAAAAGGATGTCTCACTCCCTCATCTAAATATATCTCAATCTAATTTTTATCTTTCTCATTGACAGTCTCAAAGCGTATCACTCCAGATCCCACCATCTATACAGACCCTTAAAGGAACTAAATCTTGTGTTGACTGAGACTTTGGTTCTTAATTAAACTCCTAAAAATGATGTAAAATGTTTAAATGTGCCAAAGAAGAAAATACCTTGCACACGAATGCATTAGCTGCTAGTTTTTCAGTCCTTAGGGAAACACTTGTGATACTTAACTCCGCCTGCATAGTATCCTGAGAAAACACGGGAAATGTGAGTTTAGAATTGATGGCAACCAAGATAAGACACACAGTACAGTATAAATTGTGGAAAAATTGCAAATAGTCAAATACTCCTGTCTCATAAACAAACAATTCATGTTTCAAACACTTTTGGTCCCAAAAAAAACAATTTGAACAAACTTAATTTTTCATGTGATTAATTTAGTTACACCAACAAATAAATTTTAATATTTTTGACTCTTTTTTTTAGTACAAGGGTAGTATGAAAGAATGATAGGATACGATATACGAGGAAAGGTAATAGGGAGATGAGATAGCCAAAGAAGTTCTATATTGAAGAATTACCTTTTTTTCTCTTAATGTGTAGCTTCCAAAACCCTGACAAACAGGACTTAAAAGTCTAACTCTCCGTCCACGAATCAAGGCCTGGGATCTAACAATTGCGTGCATGCAACGCAATGTAGCAACTGCCTGCCTCCTAACCAAGTGTCCACGGATAAGTGCTTGTAGCCTTATGATTCCCTTAAGAGCTCGGAAAGCACGGCGAGCCTAGAAAGAAGCATTGATTTATAAATCAGAAAATGAAAGTTGAAAAGCAAACGTAGTCACCTCTAATTCTAGCAGATGCGTAATTGTAAACCGAATTACCAAATAACCCCTAAAGACTGCTTGTGCCTTTCTTGCAGCTTTATCTTGCCTTGTCAGCTCAGCATCATCAACTGACACAATGCCTAAGCTTGGTGAATCCACATTCTCCACAGAGGACAAAGCAAGAGTATCACCTGGTAACCTGGTGGTTGTACCATTATCCAGTTCGGCCGTCTCTTCACCACTACTAATATTGTGACATGACGAATCTGGCATCACTGGATGATCCTGCATGATATCTGATGTGGGTACTTTTTTGGCAGTAGAACCATCCTTCACATTGAAACATAGTTCCATATTACAACAAAAACAAAAAGCTGTGCCTCAACCCCAATTCAATGGGATCGGCTAAAGGAACCAATAGAAAATCCATTGAGGTATAGGTGCAAATATCAGAGCTTGTTGGAAAAGAGAAAATAACTTGGAAAATAGCATTTCGTGTGAAATTATATTAAACCTTAAAACAAGAGTGAATAAATATAATCTCATTATCAGTACCTAGATAACCTACTAGAGCATAACAACCATAAATGATACAGTTTTATCGGTTATAATTGGAAAGTGTTATATTTGTTCACCTTGCCAGAAAACTGGAAATATAACCTATCATTGACATTTTGAAATGCTAGTTTTTTTTGTAAAGTATGGGGAAATTACCTAAATAGGACTAAAACATAATGCCTTTCTCAATCTAGGACCATATGTTTTTATTTCCCAATGTAGGACCATTGGTCATTATCCATAAGTCATTATTCAAGTATATGTCCACCATCACTGGACATTATTCCTCCCACTAGACATTATGAAGTACTATTTAGGGAATACAAAAGTTAAGTCCTACATTGAGAAATGACTTATGTTTTAGTCATATTTAGTGCAAATTTTTCAAGGGGTACTTGTTAACCAATAACCTCCATTCCAAAAGAAATACTCTCAAATGTTTCATTACTTCATAAGAATGATGTAATAAATTTCTAAATGACCAGATCGGATACCAAAAAGGTAATAGGTATACATATAATTACCTTCGATGATAAGGTTGACTTAGAAGATTTCTTTCCAAAAAGTACTGTCTTGATCCACTTTCCTGGGGATTTCCCCATTGCCGACAGCCCGCTGCAAGGATCGAAGGGACTTCAAAAATGTATAGCCTGCATTGTCTCATAATTGAAAAAACGGCCATATATTAAAAGAGGTGTGCGGTGTGGACAGACATTTTAAGGAAATCCAAGTACATTACGGCTCCGATACACATAAAATTCCAAAAGATTTTCGCATAATCACTTTCAAAGTTTCAATTAAGCAATGTAGGAAAAATAGTAAAATCCTAACTATATTCAACTTGTGAAAATGCAAAATCAGTTTTCAAAAATAGAACAAGACAATTTTGACCATAGTTACAGTAGGGTATATGAAACAAAATGTTCAGAGTAATTAATCAATGAAATGCAAAACAGAAACAGAAAACCAGCAAGCTAGATCTACAACGCGGCAACACCAAACATAGAAATCAAACTTCGTTAGAATCTATGCGCATGCAAGCTAAACGACGACGCATAGAGAATCTGGAGGGAGTGTAACAGATCTGAGATGTACCACGGGAATGGAGGAGCTCAAGATCTGGGAACCGCCATAGCTGAAACTGAAACAACATCAAAATCAACATCGAACAGAGGTTTCGTTAAAGAGCAAACAAACAAACAAACAAACAAAATTTCAGGCGAGCGAGTAATTGAAGAGAGAAAGCGGCGGCGAAGCTCATAGTCGGTGAGAGCTCGCTGGAAATGAAACCTTATCCACCCGCTTTTCTCGCCTCTTCCCGTCGTTGTGTCCGCCACTGTTTAGAGAGAGAGAAAGCTAACGACTCTCAACTCAGTATAGCGTATACGTAAGCAGTAGCTTTTCACTGCGAGTGGTAAAGTTTGGTGAATTGTACGAATGTGTATGTATCAGTTACAGTATTTGTAACTGTTCGGACCAAATATTCAAATGTTTTCACTTTTTTTTTTGTCTTTTTACTCAGTAGATTTATTTATTCACTATGGTAAACTGTATGTCGAAGCAAAGTAATCCCTTCATTCGAAGTAATTGTCCCACTACCAACAAGTTTGTTAGTTTGAGTTGTTAATTTTAATCATATCTAAATTAGATAAACTTTTGGTCAAATTATATAAAATTGATTATCTATGTTTACAAAAATAACTTATTAGATTTATATACAAAAATAATTTATTAGATTTATTTTGTAAAATATTTACATGATATTTTTTATAATTAATATACCATATATATATATATAATTTTATTATAGACCAAAAGTTAAAAAAAAGTTAATGACAAAGGTTAAAATGAGACAAATCTTCATAAACGAAGATAATATTATTTAAATAAATGTGCCTAGTACCAATTTTCAAAATTAAATTTATGTATTAAAAACTCATCAAAATTCTCAAAAAAACAAAAAGTGACATTACTATGTTACAGAGTATATGTTTTAGGATTGGATCCCACCGGGAGAGGGGTTCATTTTTTTAGGATATAGGTCCAGCAAAGCCACCGTTATTATTTCTTCACATTTTGGAAGCAAGCAAGGTATCACCGACACATTTGGCCCTTTTCTCCTCTTTTTTTTTAAAAAAAAGTTATGGAGATTTTTTTAAGGTACGGCTTCGGCCACATTATAAATTGAGCCCCCTATCACTCAATACTCCCACTATGGGAAAAAATTATAGGCAAAAAAGTACTAAAATGTGAAAAAATTTATTTGGAAGATACTCCGTATGATATTTGTACATGTTATTTTTGTAGAAAGAATATAAATGAAGATATAAACATTAGTACTTTATAATGGATGAAAATAGGAGTTGTGAATTTAATTTGAAAATAGAGAAAACAAATTCATTTTACTCTCTAATTCTACATTTAAAATTTCATTTTTTGTATTTGAACGTACCACAATAAAAACCAACGCCGTTTTGAAGAGTTAAAATATGTTCCTCTCCTCTCTGCATAAATTCTAATGGTAAATTTCACTTTATCATTCACACATGAGATAGCCCATCAACTAAGTAAACATCAAAGTTTTGGCAAACCGTAGATGATTTGTTTGTTCAAGATGGTCTTAAAACAATACAGATATGATTATTATGTGCGTAAACGTTATGGTACAAATTCCACACGGGCAGGACACATACAGGAAATTATATGTACAAAAGTCTCAACAAAGCAGCAGCAGCACATATAACAAAATAGTCTCCTAGAAGAACACGAGACCTTCAAAAGGGCACAATAATAAAACAATGGCCAACAACAAAGAAAAGCAGAGGGTGCATGAAGCAAACATGGTGCGTGCGGCAGCAGAAGCAGCATTCATTAATCGGCAGTCCAGCTCTGCTCAACAACCTCGCGTACCTTCCTGTTGTATTCACGCTTGTTCTCGCTAAACATCCTCGCTGCCTCAGAATTGGCAGGGGAGTTTGGGTTTGGATCACATAGCAGTGACTGCAACATACAACAAAGGCAGTAAGTGACACCTACGATGACTCACATTAGAGGTGTGCTAGGGGTACACCAACTTGCACACCAGTGTATCATTGGCACACACACAACTATTGTCCGTGCGTGCACAGCCAATAGTTGCATGTGTGTGTCTGTGATACAATGCTGTGCAAGTTGGGTTACAAAGATTGGGGTACACCTAGCTTTTCTGTCATATTAATAGCACAGACGAGTATTGATTAACAACCCAATTATTATTATTTTTATTATTATTAATCAAATCAAAGGCAAGAAGAACAAAAGCTCAAGCTATAATGTGAGCCACCTGATTCTCACAGGCAATTCCAAGATTTTGAATCTACAATAGCTAACTATGTCCCAAAATAAACCGCATGCTTCCCTTTTCCATTCATTGCAAATTAATTTCACACATGTATCCTCTTAAAGAAAATGATTGTGACCTAAAACATTTCTCTTTCTTTTCAACAAATTCTAACCATACACTTGTCACTTTTCAACACTTTTCTTACAATCTGTGAAGCCAATCCCTATACTACCACCGTCTCATATTAAAAGTCTACCTTGACCGGCCACGGTCTTTAAGAAAGTGTTGAAAAGTTTGTAGTTGGAATTGATTTAAAAGAGGGAAATAATAATAGCCATGTTTTCTTTACCAAAAAAGGAAATGGATTTTTATTTGGGATGGATATAAAAGGAAAGTTGGATGTTATTTAGGGACGGAGAGAGTAGTTTAATCTGGGTCAAAGAGAGTATAATAGTATATTCTATACAAGCCATTCAACCATTTTAAGATTTCATGCAGGCAAACACAAGCATAAACATTTATATAAACAAACCCATTTCCAACCTTCAAAGGTAATAACATGCAGCAGTACTGTCATCTTAAATTACAGTAGCAATTTAAGGTAGCAGAAGAGGGTTGGGGCTAAAGGGTAAATAAAGGTATGCTTTCTGATGTTAAACAGCCTTAACACACACCTGGATTGAAGTAAGTATAGCGGCTACATCATATATCGGACTCCATTGATTTTGTAGGATATCCAAACAAATGCTTCCATCAGCATAAACTAACAGAATTTTTTAAATGACACAAGAAAACATCAAGGTGCAAGACTACACATTATTATAATTCACTTGATAAGTTAAAAATATATATACGGAAACTAGTCTAATACCACAGACAGCATTGAAGAAACAAATAGCCTCAAAAAAACTTTTTTGACATGCCCCATTCTCCGGTTGTCGCACCCCCCCCCCCAAATAAATGCTGCATAGGTGAATTAAAGGAAACAAAATATACAAAACATCATATCATTTAAAGCTTCTAAATTCTAATAGTTGAAAGTAGAAAAAATGTATAGAACTGCATAGATATAGTAACCTTAGTTTAGAAACCCTTGGGTTTTACGACATTACGTTTAAGTCGAGTATTTCTCTATACAGGCCTAACAGACATTATAAATCATCAGAAATAATTCAATCATTCAAGTTATGAGACATAAGACTCGTATTGGTTTCAGGGCCTAACTATAAAACATTTCAAAAATAAAATGCTCCCAAAACCCTAGCCCAGTCTATTTTTTCAGCAACGAATCACACTAGTGTTTTGAAAAACAAACACAACCCCTTGAATTCTAAACCTCACTTTGGTCCCTCAAATGTCAGGTCCATGGCAAACGCCTTCACACAATCACACACCACCTGCTCCCTAGAAAGTCCCTACCACAAGCCTATATGTCGGCACATGAGGATGCTTTTGGCCTCTTATTTCTTAATTTTTTTAGATTTGTTAGTGATTGCCTAGCTCCACCCAAAAGGATCCTAAAGAAGTGAAGATTTGCCAGGCTTCAAAACATAGATTATGAACCAATAACTCATCAATGTGGATTGCTTAACACATACCCTCAGTCAAGACAAGGCTAGACAAGAAGTGGGCAGACCCAAACCGTGGAAACAAAATAGGCTTAAGTTTATGGTCTGAAACTCATGAAAGGTGTTATACTCTAACAATTACCATTTGTCGATCTTAAGAAATCAATCAAATTGCAAGAGTTTTTAGTTCAGTTTTTTTTTTTAAAAAAAATGAATGTCATATTTATTTTACAAAAAATACTCCATACGATTAATATCACAAAATCAAAGGCAAATTTTATAGAGCACTGGTATGATCGGCCATGTCATATGGAACTGACTACTGAGTTTTAGGCAGTTAAGAACCCCCAAGTGCAGAAGATGATGATGCTTAAATTGATGTGCGGATGTAGTGTGTATTGTATGGCG